GTGTGTGTGTGAGTGTGAGAGAGTGTGTGTGTGTGTTTACCCGGCGCTGGAGGCGTGTGGAAGGACACCTCAGGGCTGCAGGGGCTGAACACACCGTTACGGCAGCTCTTCACTCTGAAAGCGTAGCGAGCGTCGCCGGCCAGATCAGACACCACCGTGCTGCAGCTGTAAACACGCTCAGTCGCGCTCCAGCGGGATTCCTCCTCATCCTCAGCCCCCAGCTTCCTGAACTCCACAATGTAATGATCGGTGGGCAGAGAGTCTTCAGACAGCCGCCAGTGGATCAGACCCTCGTTATAAACGCAGCAGCGAGAGAGATCGATCACTGGAGGCGCAGGAACTGATGACAGAAAGGATTAATATTTCAGTCAGCACAGAAAGTCTTCTTCACGAGCATCTGGCCTCATGCAAAACTCAATCACAGTCACGCTCTTGGCTGCGTCACATTTAACGGCAAAACAGGATAACTGCAAGTTTCCTCAATACTTGTTTTATTCAATATTTACATATTTATTGAAATTGGTTTATGTTCTCATATATCAATATATGATCCTGTTGAACGTGACATTTTTTGACTTTTAAATGTGCAGCACTCATGTTTATTTAATCAGTCAATTTAGCCTTTGTGCATAGAGCGGCAACTCTGTTTTTCCATTCCCAAATGTAAGACCTCTTCAAATGATAATTAAGACTTTTGTCATACTAAAGGCCATAAATATGACAAACCGAATGTAAGACTTATTAAGGACCTGCCGGAAACCCTGCTCTAAATGCACACAAATTACAAAGACATTTTTTAGAAACGAACAAGCAACGGGGCTTCTGATGATTACACAGTAACTGAAGGGACACAGGACCAAGATAAATCTAACTGCTCACATAATTCAATCAACATTGAACTGACTCAAGCTGAACTTCCTATAGCTGATCGAATAACTTCACACTGCTATTGATCTGAATAATGACTCTATTGTCTTTTAGAGCTGCTGTTGAGTTTCCATCACTGATTCTGCTATTTTTATCTGCTTGGACTCATTCTGAAAGCGCTGTTGAAATAAAGGTGACTTTAACAAGTGCCGCATCTTTATGTATCTGCTGTGAAATGCAGCATAAATCTGCCGTCTCTCAGAGTCCTGCTATTGTTCCTTAAACCGTTCCAACACAGCGAGACACACGTGACCCCGAGGACGAGGCCCGCTGGTCGCCGTGGAGACGGGGCCCATCACGGCCAGCCGGTCTGCCAAGAGCCCAGGCACGACGCCCGAAACACTTCTCTGTGAATAACAAGCTATTGATCCAAACAGTAAGACGCATTAATCCGGACGGAGGAGACCGTGAGACGGCAGCAGCAGGAAAACCTGCAGTGGAAGCTGAGAGAATCTGTTGTACTGCGGCAGAATTAAAGCTGATGATGGAAAAGCATCGCTGAGTTTTGCCTCGTCAGCGATTCAGCCAATCGCATTCCAGCTGCAATGATAAAGATTCCAGCCAGCAGCAGCATTAGCGCTGATCAATAACCTCCTGCGTTTCTGTGGTCAGCATCTAAACGTGTCTCACAATGTTAAAATCCTCCAGCTGGAGGAACGAGGAGCCTAACGGTGCACAGCAGGATAAAGCCACACCGATCTCCATCCGCTCCCTGAGAGCCTTTGCTCAGCAGCACTGACGAACACATGTAGAGGAACACAAGAAACCCCGATCGTTCACCTTTAACCCCAGGACAGGTCAGCGAGAGACGTTACGCTGACTTCAGAAAGCCTGTAAGTGGATTACTCTGCTCATCTCAGGAGAGTCTCACCGCCGCTGAAGCTCAGCTCCTTCAGTAAGAGCTCCTCCTTCGACGTGTCCAGCACAAACTCCTCGAACGACGGCGTCGCCGCAGGCTGGAACATCTTCAGAGACTCGGTGGCTTTCTGAATCCTGTTAACAGAAACGACAGTCATTCAACTGATGTGAAATAAAGTGGATATTTCCCAACAGCTCCGCAGTAATGAGTTTATGAATTACTTGCATACAAGATACAATCAGAGAGAAAATCAGAACCGTACTACAGTATCAGAAGTGCATTACAGATCCCAGAGGAACAGCTCCATTCATTACGTTGGCTTGAGAAAGGACGTAGGGTTTTCCTAAAAATGACGATGAAAACCCGGGGAAAAAAATCCCAGACTTGCATCAGATGAGCCAAAACTCTTCAAACTCCAACTGATAAGCATTCAAATCTAAACTCACTGAAGCCCTCGAGACTCATTCTATCCATCCATCATTTCTAGGCCATACGTGACCCTGGAGCACAAAACCAGTCATAAGGGTCAGTTTTTGGAAATTGAGAGTTATGCATCATCTGAAAGCGGAATAAATAGCTTTCCATTGATGTATGGTTTGTTAGGATCGGACAATATTTGGCTGAAATACAACTATTTGAAAATCTGGAATCTGAGGGTGCAAAAAAATCTAAATATTGAGAAAATCATCTTTAAAGTTGTTCAAATGAAGTTCTTAGCAATGCATATTACTAATCAAAAATTAAGTTCTGATATATTTACGGTAGGACATTTACAAAATATCTTCATGGAACATGATCTTAATATTCTAATGATTTTTGGCATAAAAGAGAAATGTATAATTTTGACCCATACAATGTATTGTTGGCTATTGCTACAAATATACCCCAGCGACTTAACACTGCTTTTGTGCTCCAGGGTCACAATTAGACTAATTTAAGCTTCCATCCTACGTAATATTTCTAATCTTTCTATCATTTCAATCTTTAAAACAGTTTAAAACTTCAAGCTTTTACAACTACTTCAATCTTTCAGGCAAGGCTTTCTCAAGTCAACGTTAAGTTCGTCTTGATGAACTTCATCTAGTTCTCTGGGAAGAGTCGTCTAAGTGTTTTAAATCATCTAAATTAGCGACACGATTCATTACTCTGAAGCTGCTTTGAAACGATCTGTATGGCCTAAAAGCGTTACTGTTACCAGCTGTAAACCCATGCGGCGAATCCAAAGCAGTGACTCAGGGTTTGTGGGAAAGTGAACGGCAAAGCAGCTTTGTGGACTAACAGAGATCAGGATTACAGTGAATGAACCGAGCCTTGTTTAAATCTAGAAACACAAGCCAGATGACAAAGACTCTGGATTACGGTCACGTGTCTCGAGGCTAAACGAGGCGAGGCCGAACCTGACGTGCAGCAGTTTGGCCGTCTGGACGAAGCAGGACTGATCCGTCTCCTTCAGCACCTCCTGAGCGTATCCCACAAGGCCACTGTTCTCCAGCATGCCCTGGTACTCCTCCACCTGCGCCCGCAGACGCTCCACCCGCAGACTCCGGCTCTGCTCGATGGAGCGCAGCATCTCCGTCCTCCGCTCCTGAAGCGTCTCGAAGAGATGCTCGAAGTGTTCGTTGGCGCGTCTCTCGGCGAGCTGCCCGTTCTCCTGCGTTCAGAGGAAGATCCGAGACAAAGATCCTGCTGCCGTCATGCAAATACACTGACCACCTCCTTATCATCATATCCTTCATGTTAGTTCTTTATGAGTATTAAGCTAGCAGTACAGACAAACTAATTTCCCTACTGAAAATAACCAGGGAAGTCAAGGGAACAAAAAATAAAAAAATAAAAAATAAAGATTGAGGTCATAGTAGGAGTGGACGATGTGACCAAATTCTTTATCGTTGTTATTTTCTTCATTGTTCCTATTTTTAATCACAAACAAGTGACATACGTGAAAAGTGAAATAAACAGTGCGTTTAAACTGTAATCACATTCATTTGTTGTGACGCTGTAACGGCTTAATTTGGTGAACTCCCTCAGAGTAGAGAACGATATCGTTGGGAGAGTTCAGAATGATTTTGTTGCAGCTGGTGAACGATAAAACACTAACATAGCTGACGGTGCAGAAACACATGCTGTTTAATAAGGCAAACCCCTTTTCAAAGATGATTTAAAGAAAAATGGATTTCTGGAAAACAGTTCGTTATACCCTCAGAATAGTGTTCATTTTCTCAGCTCTTTTTACAAGACTTTGGTTAAGTTAACTTGTCCCGTTTCAGTTTTAATCTAGTTTTAGTCAGTGAAAACTTCATATTTTTTGTCTTACTGTATAATGATTAAAATTATAAATATTATTATTTTGCTCAATTTTAATTGCAATGATTGTCGTCATTTGGGAAATTTATTTTTACATTTCATCAGAAGTTCCTCTTTCACCAATAAGCACAAATCAATAGAACATCGACTCGTATGCATGGTTTATTTCAGCTCATCTAGTGTACAGATTTATCACAGGTTATCAATCAGAGGCTAAATAAACACCAAAGACTCTAGATATATTACACTCGCCCGGTCTACGTTATGAAAACTGGTGTAACACAATCCTACTCTCAAATATTATAACAGAGAAATTACTAATAGTAACTCAAAAATGGCCAGATTGCATAAATCAAAAAGCCAGGAAGAATATGTATCCGTTTAACAGAAAAGCTCTGTTTGGGGGATTTGAGCTCTTGATATCTGGCGTAATAGAGTCTTGCACAGCAGTCTGAAATGTTTCAGCTCAACTTTTTTTTAAACAAAAATAAAAAGGTTTTGGTAAAGTTTTCGTTCTTTTAACTACATTTTAGTCTCGTCTTTTTATTGCATGTTGATATAGTCTCAGTTATCGTTTAATGACCTTATTTTTCTTGTCTTGTTTTCGTCAAGAGAAAAACCCTACCTCAGAATGAATGCTGGTAAGCAGTGTTGGGGGGGGAACGCATTACAAGTAACACGAGTCAGATTACTTATTTCAAGTAACTAGTAAAGTAGCACATTACTTTTAAATTTACAAGAACATTTCTGAGTTACTTTTTCAGATAAGTTACTTTGTTTCACTGACAGCTCTGCTGTCCGCATGTTGAGAGAAATCAGAGGCGTTTCCTTCAGCCTGAGGATCATCATCATCACTTTTGGTGTGAAAGGGCCTTTACGGTTGCCAAAAAGATTACATTTGGGTTTTTTGTTATTAAGAATGATTAAACAAGCCCAGATCAGATGAGAAAAAGTAACGCTAAAGTAACAATGCATTACTTTCCATAAAAAGTAACCAAGTAACACAAGTAGTTACTTTTTTATGGAGTAACGCAATACTGTAACATTACTTTTAAAAGTAACTTTCCCCGACACTGGTGTTGAGAATGAACAGAGTTCAGAGAAACCCGACAACTGTTGGATGCTGCCGTTTGCCGCGAGCTAGCCTTTAAGCGGATGACAGCAAAAAGAACTTCCCACACCAAACCATTCAACACGCCAACATTAAAAACGCATTTAATCCACGCTAAGAGCTCGTGGACATAAACAGAACATAATATGACATCAACGGCAGCATAAAACACTTCTCTGAATGAACGCTCCAATGAGGGAGCTTCAGTCACATCTGTTCCGACTGTTCTGGCCAATCAGGATCAAGCAGGAAATGAGCTCGCCGTTACCTCTGTGTGACGCATCATCACCTCCAGCTCAGAAATCTGAGTCCTCACTTGGTCCTCTTTGCTAATTAGGTAATGGATACTCTTCGATAGCTTCTCCTGTTGACAGAAGAGTTAAGCCCATTAGAACACAGTGGAAAAATCGACCTCCCGCATGATTTCCGGACAGCGAGAGACGCCTAATACAGCTTTTGAGAGCATCTACAACACCGGGACCTGGACAGAACAGATTAAGATAGAAATATTGCATTAAAAATGGATGAGTGACGGCTCTTGTTTGCAGTCGTCTAATATTTCTGACTCAGCAGATGCTGACAGAGATTGAGCTCGGTCCCTCCCCGGACAAATCTATCCACCAGAAACACAATAGCGCTTGTTTTCAGCCATGAATACTTTAAAAGGGTCACGAATTGAGAAAATTGACTTGATCTTGTAGACCTAAAACGGGTCAAAAAAATCAGCAGTGGAGGTTTACACTGAAGTCTTAAAGAGACACGCCCATTTAAACGGTTCATATTACAGGGATAAAATCAGGGTAGAAAATGGCCATTTATTTCTAAATTATGACTCCTACTAACATTATAAGTGCACTATGGAAGCCTGTGTCTGCAACTGATTAGAAAATACAAAAGTAATTGTGACTTTTTCTCACGATTGTAAGATATAAACTCTCAAATATAAACTCTGAGAAAAGAACTCACAATTGCGAGTTAGAAAGTCAGAATTGTGAGATACAAACTCACTATAAACCCTGATAAAAGTCAGAATTGCGTGATATGAACTCGCAATTGCAAGAATTATTTTTTTGAGATGTAAACTTGCTATTCTGAGAAAAAAAGGCAGAATAGTGAGATTAAAAAAAAGTTGCAATTATCTTTACATTTTTTTATTCTGTGGCAGAAACAAGCTTCCATAGTTCACCTCAGGAAACATTATAAAATAAGAGCAGTTGTGAGCTCTTCTGAACATGGACAGACAAACAGCCCAGTGAATGTTATTACACTGGACGCACCTTCAGGATCTTGTAGGCGCTGCTCATGGAAGTGACTCTGTGATTAGCGTGAGATCCGCCGAGCTTGCACAGATGACACACAGGACGCCGGCACACCTCACAGTACATGTTGACCTTCTCCATCTCGTGCTCGGGACACATGAGCACCTGGAACCCAGGGTTTGATGGGTTAGATCAATGACAGCAGCTGATATAGCGCAGCGGTGGCGGGGTTGATACGGACCTTTGGTCTGAAGTTGGTGGTGGGTCCCACATACTCGTGCTGGGCTTTGGGCGTTCCCCAGGGGTGGTTCATCTTGAAGCACTCATTGCAGAAGCTGGCTTTGCAGTCCATGCAGCTCTTGGTGGCCTCCTGAACGGGCGGCTTGCAGGCGTTGCACATGATGGCCACGGCCGCGCGGGCCGCCTGACGGTAGCGCTCCACGATGCTCTCCAGAGTGAAGTTCCTGAAGAGCATGCTGATCCCTCGCTCCCCGAGATCAATGTCATGCTGACAGCCGGGACACGGGAAGGCGGTGACTCGGGGAGTGACGGAGGAGCGCCTCCATCCAGGAGAAGATATGGACCCTGATGCAGCAACACGTGACAGCGGTCAAGATAAAGGGGGAGGAACAGACGTGCACACACACACACACACACACACACACACAATGAAGCACTAATGATCAAAGAAGGTCAGACACACATGGAGTGACTCAAACTGAACACAGCACAACAGCAGACAGTGATCTGGACACGAGAAACAAAAGATCAAAAAATGGCAATTAAAAACTAATTTTAAGCAAAAAACTGAATGACAGGCCTGTCTGTAATCTATTCCACAGCGCTGAATGAGATCGAGGTCACTCTTTTTAAAGCTGCGGTGTCTCGTTTCTGCTCCCCCAAACAGAACTGATCATTCACAGATGATTTCCTGACAGGTTTCCACAAACACTCCGTCTTCCATTGCTCAGCCTAACAGATGGTCACGTCATTGGTGGAGTCAGAAGATGACACGTCTGGCTGCGAAGTGTTCAGTGTTGTGAAGCGTCCGTGTTTCACTCCTCAAGAATCAGTTAGTGATGTACCGAAATTAAGATTCTTTTTTCTAGAACCAAAACCGGAAATTCTGGACACACTGGGCTGAAAACTGAACCGGATTATTTTGATTGCAGTCGTTCTTCCCTCAGGTTGTGATAGCACCATGCTATCTACACTCCAACGACATATCATACTTTAGAATACCGCTTACATTAAGAATACACAATGTTTATTTTTCCTCTTCTAAAGGAACAGTGGCAGGAACGTCTTTGACTGTGTAAACAGTAGCATGAGACGTTGAGCTAAACAAGCGTAACCCAACCCTAACCTAGAGTTTCTACTGTAAGTGTGACCTCTTTACGGTCAACACATCCATCATTAATCACAGTTACATTCAGTGCCAAGAATTTCAGCCTTTGTTCAGTTTCTAAGCATCTCTACTGCCAGCGACGAACAGATGATCACACAGCAGCTTTAAAGTGAGATGAACCTCCAGATCGTGCAGGTCAGTGTCATGGGCTTTTGTGGGAAAATCATTTCAGGGTGAAAGAAATCACTTCTCCAGCAAGCACTGATGACAAAGAACAGCAAAGTGAAATGCAAACAGACCAAAGGAGAGATAACATCACACCGTCGGATGCAGCAGGACACACGTGCAGCACAGATGGATGGAAGCGACGCATGCGGACGCGCTACAGCATGATGATGAACGTGGACCGAGATCTGAGCGAGCGCCGGGTTCAGATCGGGACATGGGAGCGAGCATGACTGAAATAAAGCGTGTACTTAAGCCGTGAGTGTGCTGCGCCGCGAGGCATGCTGGGAGCTGATGCTGCCGCAATGAGAGGAAAATAAACGCTCAGACCAGAAACAGGCCCATCAGCACAAGAGACGGAAGATTATTATGTGACGAGAAGTTCTTTACACAACATACTGCTAGTTCACTGCTATTTAGTTAGTTGCTGTTGTCTAGAAGAAAAATGTCTGAATATTCTCTCTGCATGAGATGTTCTTCCCTCACGGACGCTCTGGGATTCCCGTGTTCCTCCACAGCAACATGAAACACGCGTTCTCACGGTTCTGTGCAGGAGTCGCAGACGCACTGCTAGATCTGATCCGGGCGGCTGTCAGCTCAGCGGACGCTCACGAGAGTTTCAAAGGGACAGTTCGCCCAAAAATGAAAGTTTTCCTGCTAATTTACTCTTCCTCAGACCATCCAAGATGTAGTGACTTTTATTTCCTCAGTAGAACAGTAAAGAAGATTTTTAGCTGAAACCGTGCTCATTGGTGAAGTCAACGGCTACCGTCACTTTGAGAGTCAAAAAAGCACATCAGGCAACACAGAATGAATCCTAGTGGCTCCTGACGATATATTGAGGTCTTATGAAGTGAAACGATCAGTCTGTGCAAGAAACTGCATTATTACCTGTAATCCAGAGCCTCAGGCAAGCAGTGAAATACGATTCTTTTCAGTGAACTGGTGCTTTCTGACAGATTCACTAGTTTATGTAATCACGCAGTGACGTCACGTATACACAATTATATGATTAAATCACCCAATAATGATGTGAAGTGCGGATGTTTTCATGTCTAAAGCATATAAACTAGTCTTCACCAGCTCACCTTTTTACATAAACAGTGAGAAACCATAAAAACTGTTCAGTGTTCAGTTCACGCATGCGCAGATCAGCGGCTCATCGGTGTTCGGTTCGAGTCGAACGGTTTCCTCAGTTCAGTGACTGTTGGAGGAATCAGTTCGTTCATCACAGGATCAGATTCGCCGGTGTTTCGGCTCATTTCCAGTCGCAGTGACTGTCAGGCGTCTCAAAACGAGTTTGATTGAGTAACTTGTAGATCTGTGCTGCTCGAGCCTGAACTGATTCCGACGATTCAGTCCGATTCGATGAACTGGTTCAACTAGTTCACTAAAAAGAACCGGTTCAAAAGAATGATTCGTTCGTGAACTGGACCGTTTGCCTGAGGCTCTGGATTACAGGTAATAATGCTGTAAATAATGTTTATTGCACAGACTGATCGTTTCGCTTCATAAGAGCTCAATATATCGTCAGGAGCCACAGGGATTCATTCCGTGTTGTCTGTTATATGCGTTTCTGACTCTCAAAGTGCTGGTAGCCGTCGACTTGCATTTTATGAATCACCAATGAGCAGTTTCAGATAAAGATCTTCTTTCCTGTTCTACTGAAGAAATAAAATCCATCTACAGCTTGGATAATCCGAGGATGAGTAAACTAGCAGAACATTTTCATTTTTTCACGACTACCCTTTTAAGTGGCATCTACTCGTGATTTGTTCCTCCGTCGCTTACGGAAAGCGTTGCGCGCGAGAAGAGAGCGTTCTAGAGACACAGTACTCACTACAGCTAATTAAATTACGTAAACCACATCTACCTCTCCCTCCAAACGACCTCCTCAGCGAGGCTGCAGGCAACAGAGAGAAAAGTGAAACAAGACTAACAATGGTTAAACGTGAACAGAAGTGGAGTGAAACCTGATTCACAACCAATGACTGTACGAACATGAAAACAGCATCACATTTCTTGGGAAAAACTGCAATGAAAG